GCTGGCCCAACACTTCGATGTGGAGTGCTGGCCACAGCGCTTCATAGGAGCAGTGGAAGTGGGATCTGTGCTTGCTCATGTGTACCAGCAGCCATAGTGGCATGTCAGACTGCCTGTGCCTCAGCAGCAGTGGAGTCCCAGTGGAGGTGGGTAGGGCGGTGGGATGTGCTCTGCCATCAGTGGTACGGCAGCAGGGGGCACATGCACATTTGTGTTTTTGGGGGAGGGGAGGTGAAGTCTGCCTATACGTGTGTGCCAGCAAAGCAGTGGGAGGGATCTGTGGGTGAATGTTTGCTGACAAAGCGGTGGGGCAGGCTGCTTGTAGGCTTTTCACATTAGTGGAGGCTGGTCTGCTGGAGGTCTCCAGTGGTTAGATGCAGTCTGCCCATGAAGGAGCTATGATGGGGCCCCCCTGGGAAGCACCCTGTTTGGGTATCGAAGGCAGTGCTGGAAGCTGGTGTGACCATGCTGGGACCCTAGGAGAGGCTGGCACATTGTGGGTGGTGCTCAGATCAGACTGTCCTCACCCTATGGTCAAGATCACCCTGGTCTGTGCAGGTCCAGCAGTCACCCAAAGGCTAAGGCTACCAGAAGATCCTGGTGAGACTTGGGGGATGGGCATCCCTGGCCATGTTCCACTGTACTGTTCCCACACAAAACCTTCTGGGCTCCACACAGGCTGGAGTCCTGCCCCTGCCACCTCTCTCAGCAGCTCTCCCTGCCAGCTCAAGCATTCATGTGGGTCGTGGGATCTCCTGCAGCTAGGATTTCAGAGGTCTGTGGCAAGAGCAGGCTACTCCTTGCCTATACAACTCATCCATTCCCCAGGTCTTCCTTGGAAATGGCATTGGTAGGATTTGAGATGCAAGGATTCTTCTTGCGTAGCAGGAAGTAAAGGAATTCTGAGAGGGGTTGTGGTTTTGAATTTTCAGGCCAAATGTTTTTTGATCTACCTATTGTTTTTCCCTAATAAATACCTGGATACTGTATCCTTTCTAAACTGAAGGGGAGTATCTGTTCCATACAGAGCTTTGATAATTCACAGTTGAGACACTTTTTTTTTTATTAGTTTTCAAAGTGGAGAACTAGTAACTACAATGACAGTTTATATATTTGCTCAACATTTTTAGCAGTCCCCAAACTTGAGGAGTAAATTATAATTTGAAGATTCTAAAAGTACATTTCTGTCTTTTTCTCTTTATCTTGTTCCAGAAGGATTTGAGGTATCTTACATAAATACATAAAATTTTCTTTTCTAATGGATAACTGAGGCAAAGGGAGTGTAGATGTAAGAAAAAATAATATGAAGCCAGAGACTGAAAATCTTCCAAGTCAGTACCAACTCCAGCAAGGTGCTGGCGAAAGAAACTGCTGGGCTTGACTTCAAGAATGATTCCTGGTGTCTGTGACAACAGGAGAAGGCTTGAGGCCTGACATGACTGCGATGTCCTCATCAGCAGGGCGAGAGCCACCCTTCATTCCCACAGCAGCTGGAGACGGCTGGTCATGAGCAGAGCTTGGAGCACTCCCCGGCTGACTACACGCCCACCCACCTGCACTTTGACCTCTCTGGTGAGGTCAGAATCCAGCACGTGTGTTATTCTGAAATTAGTGTTTTTCTTCTTACTTTTGAAGATGCTATCATCTGTGAATATTGGCATCTGTGCAACATTATCAAGCATATTTTTGCAGTTTAGAGAATTAAAGGTAAAAGTTTATTAGGGTTCTTTTCTCCCTGTAGGAAAAGGAATGATCATCAGAAATGATGGCTGTGGGTCTCTGCTGTGGGAGTGGTTGAGATCAGTGAGGGAGGAGAAGGCTAAGGTGCCCTCTAGCTTCCCACCCCTCAGTGCTCCTGTTCTTACTTGCCAGCAGCACCCCAGGAAGGACACGTGCATTGGAAAGGAATGCAAGTCCCCGGTGTCTTGTCAGCAGTTCCAAAATCCAGGGATTTCAACACTCATTTTATGGCAAGCCCTGCCCTGCAACATGAGCTGTTCAGCAAGCGTCATTATTCACCCCTTTACCCACTGCATGCATTTGTTTGGTGAGCATTTATTTCCCACCACCTGTGTGCCAGGGAATGGGGGAAAGGAAAGGAGCAAATGACGGTCATTAGTGGAAGCTTGTGAAAACCACAGCGCACCTTCTGGGCATGTGTTAACTCAAAGTGTGTCACTCTTTACGGCACCCTGTTAGGCTAACTCTCCATGGCCTAGGGAGCACAGGTCTTATTAGTTTTTCTTTGTAAACTTGAAAGACACATACCCAGTACAGGATTTTCTTTTTTTTTTTTGGAGGGAGTCTTCCTCTGTCACCCAGGCTGGAGTGCAGTGGTGTGATCTCGGCTCACTGCAACCTCTGCTGCCCAGGTTCAAGCAATTATCCTGCCTCAGCCTCCCGAGTGTCTGGGATTACAGGCATGCACCACCATGCCTGGCTAATTTTTGTAATTTTAGTAGAGACGGGGTTTCACCAGGTTGGCTAGACTGGCCTTGAACTCCTGACCTCAAGTGATCTGCCCTCCTTGGCCTTTCAGAGTGCTGGGATTACAGGCATGAACCACTGTACCCAGTGCAGTACAGGATTTTTGAAATGTTAAGTGTCCAGGAACAACCTGTCCCTCTGTTCTGGGAGTGATGGGCTACTTTCCTAGAGAGCTCTCAGCTCTTACATGTTGATGCTAACTGACTCCTAGAGAAGGATTCCTAATGTGTCCTTTGGGCCATGCTAAGAATGCAGTTATTTGTGTACTGGAGCTTAAAAATACATGACAAGGTGTGAAAACAAGTACTGAACAGCCAACGTGGGGAGCATCTGCAGATAGTGACTCAGGGAAATGGGTTATCAACACTGACTTTGAGAAGGGCCACAGCTGCCATTTGGCTCATAACTGATCGCCTGGGAGAACGAGGGTGTGTTGGTTACAACAGAGGTCCTGCTTGGGTGGCCCATCACCTCTGCAGCTTTAAAATGGAAACAAGGTGGCTCTTCACAAATTCCAGGCCGGTCAGGTCAGAGATAACCTGGCTGGTGAGTGTGGGTGTAGGTCAGTAGATTTTCCACCAGTGGCCTCTTTCATTCTGCCAATGTGCAAAGGCAGAGCTACCTAGGACCTTGATTTTGTCTTAGAATGGATACTTTCTTCTCTTATTCCATCACTGAGGCCCAGAAGGCTTGAGGGGAGATGGGCCTGGTTCTGAGGGAGGAGGCCCATCCTGCAGGCTGAGAAGATTTCGTTTTGCAGTTTTGTGATAAATCAGATGACATACTTTTCTCCTTCGAGGGCTTCTGTTTTATCATTTAGAGTTTAAAAGTGATGCTTGTGTTTTTCTCAAATTCAATGATATTTCTTTAAAATACAGTAATACCTGCATATTATATAAATTTGGAAAATACAGAGGAAAATAGGAAAATGAAGATCGCATATCACTATTCATATTTTGGTTCTTCCTAGATGTTTTAGTATTTATTTTCCTTTGGGGCCTGAAGATACTTGTATGTAAGATTTTTGCAAAATCGTGATCTAACTGTGTATGCAGATTTATATCCGCTTTTCTCTAGATCTCTGAGTCATCTTCATAGTATGATTTTAATGGCTGTGTACCTTTTTACTGTTGCTGGCTTTATCTATAGTTGTATATTTCTATTTTTTGCCCTTTTTTGTGATTGTAATTGTGTTGTATAGCACATTTTTGTTTGTAAATTATGACCCATATCTCAGATTATTTCATAATACAGTAGTTACCTCTTATCTGTGGTTTCACTTTACTCACGGTCAACCAGGGATTAAAAATAGGTGAGTACAGTACAATAAGATATGTTGAGAGAGAGACCTCATTCACATAACTTTTATTACAGTGTATTGTTATAGTTCTATTAGTTATTGTAAATCTCTTACTATGCCTAATTTATAAACGACACGTTATCGTAAGTATATATGCATAGGACGTAACATAGTCTAGTAGGTGTAGGGTTGGGTACTGTCTGTAGTTTCAGGGATCCACTGGAGGTCTTGGAACATAGCTGCTACAGATAAAGAGGGCCTACTGTATCCACTTGTGGTCCTGGAAAGATTTGGGTCACTTTATGAAGCCGGTTAGTGCATATGTAGACTGTGTGTAGCAGAGATGTGTCCATATAGGCTAGTGCTAACATGGAAATAACTATCAAATGAAAGAAAAGCCTTCCTGTTTATATTCAGATTCTGAAAATGCATGCTGTTCATATTAATCTGTTGTGTTGGTCAGAGGTGTTTCTGTGTACAGAGACTATGGCAGCTTTGGACCTGTCGGTGTGGGCTCTTTAATAACAATAGCTGTTTATCAGAGTAAGATTTTACAGGGATATAGATTATCTAAAGAATCAGTGGAGAATTACTCACACATTTACTACTAATCCTTCCCTATTGTGAGGAAAGAGAAGATTTACATTTTAGCCTGGATGTAGGTCATATGACTTTTCTTCTGACTCTGTATTTTTTTAAAAAGCATAGTTTTTATGCCTACCAACATTTATGGCTCCTGATTCCTGAGTCCGAGAAGAGTTATTGGGATTCCTGCCCCCAGGGGAGTGTCCTGTCCCCTCCGCCCAGCTTCCTTGGTCCAGTTATCCACCCTGGGTGTGGCCTTTCAGACCCCTGCCCGCTTGGTCCAGGCCTCCTTCTCTTTGCATACTTGCGTGGCTCTCCATGCTCCTCTGAAGGAGTGGGTTTTGTCTTCTGTGCCCCTCAGCCCCGTTGTCCTCCCCGACTGTGGTGGCAGTTGGGTGTGGACCCCTCATCTGGCCTCATAGCTCTTACCCTTTTGTTGGTTCAGCTTCACCCCACATGAGTGAACTTGGGGCACCCATGTGACAGTGGAGGTTGCTGGGTGCTGGGCCCCTCTAGGCCTGTCGAGACGGACCACTCTCTCGGGCAGGCTTGACAGAAGGCCTGTTCGCTGCATGGTTTTGGAAGTCGGTAAGCCAAGGACTGCACAAATGTCTCCATCATTTTCTAGAAAAGAAGAAGCCGAGGCGGGGCAGGCCTTCGCGGGACTGGCGGGAGCGGAGGAACGCCATCCAGCTCACCAGCGAGCACACGGTGGAGACCCTGGTGGTGGCCGACGCCGACATGGTGCAGTACCACGGGGCCGAGGCCGCCCAGAGGTTCATCCTGACCGTCATGAACATGGTGAGTCCGGAGCTGGGGTCCTGACGTGGGGGGCTCTGTTTTCTCCTTGATGAGAGATCTGGAAGCGGGTGCTGTGTCCTCATCTCCTCAAGTGAGGAAGACACTGGGTTAGGGGATAGGGGAACATAGCCTGGTGATTCCAGGCATCGAGGAGGGCAAGTAACTGGGGGACATCCCAATGGGAGAGTGCCTGCCCTCGACTCCACACTGGTGTGGTGTTAAGTGCCCAGATCTGCTCAGTGACGGGGCCGCTTGTTACCAGAAGGCTTCCCAAAAGCTTTGCGATGCATCAGACCCAGTCCAAGGGGCATTCGAGGTCATGTGAATCCCAGACCCTGCTCCAAGGAGTCCATAGTCTAGCAGGAGGAACAAATTCTGACTTCTCTGGAAAACAGAGCTTACTGTATGGTGAGAAGTGGGGAGAGAAGTTGTCTAGTTGAGGGAACCAAGGAAGGAGTCAGGATGCCCACGTCCGTCTACGTCTGATTTGTCAAATGGGGATGGCGGGAAACCTTTAGATGGGGATGGGTGGGTGGTGAGGCTGTTCTCCTCAAATGTTAGACCCTGAAGAACCTTCAAGGGCATCCTAGCTTTACCCATCCATTCATTTTCGCAGGCGTTTTTAAGGACTAAGTTATTTGACATGGCGGGAGCGGGGAGCCATAAGGGTGTGGGAGATGTGGATAGGGCTGGGTGAGGGAGGGAGGGCCAGGCATCTTGAGGAGCAGGGGCTCTACCCTGAGAAGTGGGACCACTGAAGGGAAGGGGAGCAATGTGCTGAGGTTGATGTTAGGAAGAGCAGCCCAGCAGCTGTGTGCAGGGTGGATTGGAATGGGAAGCAGTGTCGTGGAGCACTGGGGCTGGAGCAAGTGTGGGAGAGGTTGGAGTGGGAATGGAGGAGGGGCTGGCGTAAGAGGAAGGAGCTGCAGGAATTGGTGACTGGCAGGATGTAGGGGTTAGAGAGGCAGGAAGAGGAGGCAAGAGAAATCCAGGCTTCTACACCCAGGCTTCAAGCTGGGCCTCTGGGTTGGCGGTGGAGCCATTGGCTGAGAAAAGGAGGAGGAATGAGTTTGGGGCCACAGCAAAGAGTTTCCATTCTGGACAAACTGAATTCAAGGTGGAAATCAGGACAGAGGTCTTGGTGGGAAAGAGGGACCCGGGCTTTTCAGCCTACAGCTGACAGCTGAAGTAGGAGAGTGAGCAGCATTGCCTGGCTGAAATGTATCAGTGAGTAGAGAAGCTGTCCAAAGACAGCCCATGGAGCACCAGCCCTGGGGGGATGGGGCAGCGACCTGGGAGGAGGTTGTCCTGAAGAAGGGGTGACAGGTGCAGGAGGAGACTGGTTAACAATGCCAGATGGAATGGCATTAGGGAGTGTTGTTGTTAGATGCTTAATGAGAACAAATTGAAAAGTGAATGGGAAGTGAGAAGTAGAAACAGCTACAACTCAGCTGTAGAAACAGCCAAGTTGCTGATCTTGGCTACAGTAGAGGAGAGGGAAGCCTAGTCAGGTGGAATCTGGGTTAAGGGGAACTTTGTAGAGGGAAAGGGATATGAAGGTTCTGAGTGTGAGGTTTAGCCTCAGGCCTGGGCTAGACTCCTGCCCAGCCACTCATAACAGAGAAGAACCTCTCTCAGCTTGCTTCTTATCAGCAGGTCAGGGATTTAGCTCTGGCCACAGTGAGTACGTGGTGCCTGGCCACAAATGGTCAGGCTGCTTATGGAAGGGAGTGACGCGAGAGGACAGGGCAAGGTTAAACGACATGGGTGCAGTGGGGAATGACCCAGGGCCTGAGTTTTCACTGGGGACACAGCAGCCATGGGTTGTGTTGTGGGGTAGGGAGATGACACATCTATCCCTGGAATCTGCAGGGCCTTTGGGCCAGCTGCAACCAAGGTCTTGAGGTCTAGGGAAGGTACAGAGCCTGGGCTGCCCAGGCCATAGGCACCCTTGTTTGCTTGGTGTGATGAGCTCTGGAGCTCAGGGGTAAGTGCTAGGGAGGAAGTTGGCCCTGACATGAAGCGTAAGGGAGGGGCTCAGAGTGCTGGGAGGATAGCGGAGGGTGGTGGTCCTCATGGCTGGACAGGGTCTGCAGGCGGCTCTTTGCCCATGTGTGGATGTTATGTTGCTGAGAGGGATGGCTGGGGTTTTAGAGGTGGATTGGGGCAGGGCTGTGAATGGGAAAGAACACAAAAGCTGGATGAACCCTCCAATGCACCATTGCCACTGGGATCTCAGCTCTGGTAGTTGTGTAGCTGGGGCTGTGGTGTCTGGGAGGCCTGGTGGCATGTGGTGGCCTGGACAAAGGATGCCAGGATACCATGTGGTGGCCTGGACAAAGGATTCTCCCCTTGTAGGGATGGGATCCCACAGCTTGTTTCCCAGAGACTGAAGGAGGCCCCGTAGTGGGGAGACTCAGGGACATTGCCAGAGTCACACGGGAAGTCACTGGCAGAGCTATGACGACCATGTCAAGCCTTTCTTTCCCCTAACCAGCCACACAGGGAAATCAATGTTGAGGACCCCAATTCTGGGCCCAGTGGGTGTGGGGACCCCCACGACAATCCTGCTTGTCAGGAGGACAAATCTCTGGTACTTTGTCCTCCGTTTTGTTGAAGACTTTCCAGGACTGCTTTTGGGACGTGTCTCTATCTGTAGGAAATTCCCTCTGTCTCCTCCATGCCCGTCACCCCTGCTGTGCTCTGGAGGGAGGCTGCTTTGGCAGCACTCAGAGAGTAGAGGCCTCATGTTGAGCCACCGAACCCACACGTTTCCTCACATGCCAGGCTCTTCTGCAAGGCACACTTGCCAAGGAGGCCCCTGGGACCCTGGGCCAGGGATCTGCTTTCCGACGTGGCCTCGGTGGGCACGTGAGGGTGCCATGCTGCTCCCACTCCTCCTTCAAAGTCATCAACTCTGGAAGTTCCATTAACTTAAAAAAAAATTTTGGCAAATTTCTTTTTCTATTTTTTTATTGTGGTAAATGTATATGTAATACAGAATTCACCATCTGAACCATTTTTATGTGTACCAGCTCAGTGGCCTAAAGCACATTCACCTTGTTGTGCAACCACCACCACCATCCACCTCCAGGACTTTTTCACTATTCCCAAAACGGAAACTTCCTACCCATTAAACACTATCTCCCCAAGCCCCTGCCAACCTCCATTCTACTTTCTGTCTGTATGAATCTAATGACTCTAGATACCTCATAGAAGTGGAATCATGCAGTATTTATCCTCTTGTGAACAAATGGCTTATTTCACTCCGCATAATGTCCACAAAGTTCATCCACGTTGTGGCGTGTGTCAGGATGGCTTTCGTTTTTCAGGATGAGTAGTATCCCATTGCACGTACGTGCACCACATTTTTCTTATCCATTCGTCCATCAGTGTATGCCTGGGCTGTTTCCACCTTTTGCTATTGTGAATAATGCTGCTATGAACATGGGTGTGCAAATCTCTGTTCAAGTCCCTGCCTTCAATTCTTTCGGGCATACACCTGGAAATGGAATTGCTTAGGTTAACTTTTGATGTTGCTCAGCTGCGAGAAATAGTTCCGTGTTAACTTTTGATGGTGCTCATTTCTGAGAAATAGTTCCATGTTCCTCATGTGCACAAACCCAGGTCTCCCCGGTGGCCGGTTAATGATGGGCTGCATTGCTCCAGTCTGCCCGGAGCATGCCTGAGATGAGGGCTGGAGGGGCTTGGCTCTGTACCAGATGCTTTCATCTGCAGATTATTTTTTCTTTCTCTTTTTAAAAATTATCCAGGGCACAAGTGCAAGGAATAAACATTCATTACAACAGCTAAGGTAGTAATAAGGCAGAACTTCTACTTTGATATTTGCTTTCATAATTTATCATCCAGGCAGGGGTGGTTGTTTGATCCCAGGCAGGAAGTGGGAAGGGAATGGGGTTGGTACATGGAGACAGGCCTTCCCACCCGCACCCCTCATGGGCCGTAAAGACTGAAGGGCTCTGTTTCTTGCCTTTGATTGAACACCCTTCACCCCTCTTCAGGGGCTTGTACTAAGACGCTGGAGGCTCAAGAGCCCGGGGCTGAGGGCAGACCTGGGGCCAACATGTGAAGTTTGGATTGAGATGTTTCCTGAGGAGGCCTGCCTAATGAAGGTGATCCCGCTGTGAGAAGGGCTGAGTGTGATGACTCTGAGCCCTTCTGTCATCTATACTTGGGGTTTCCGGGCCCTTTTGATCCAAGCCAGAAGGCAAATGGAAGCAGAGTCATCAGCCCCCCAGCCCAAGTGGGCTCACACCGCAGCAGCCCTTTCTTGCCGCTCTAGCCCTGGACCACCATTCAGTAAATTGAAAAACAAGTTCCGTTTAGACGTGACACCTTGTTTAAACAAGACCACCTCCACCAGCACCTCCCTTTCTCAATTCTTCAAATCCTGGTTTAGGAAATCCAAAGAACTCTCCTGCCTGTGGCTGTTTTAGAAAAGGGCTTTCTGTTAACAAGTGAGACAACCTTTAAGCCGGGAGGAAGGGAAAGGATTGTGGCTGGGCCAGAAGGCCTGTCATTAGACAAGCCCCCTGGAACAGAGAGCAGAACGTGATGCCAGCGAGCCCATCTGCTTCCCTCCAGAGCATGTTTTCTGTGGGGCTGTGGGATGAGAGTGGCCCTGTCTCCTTAACCCCTCCAGATTTGGAAGGAAACCTGCTAGAGTTGGTTGCCACCTTCATTCCAACACATTTCTCTCCGAGTTGTGGGAAATAGCATGATTCGTGCTGATGGCCGGGCACCCACTCCATCCCACCCTCCCACTTAGGTCTCTATGGTCGGAGGCCTGGCTCTCCCATGTATGCTGACCTGACTGCCAAGGCAGACCCCAGACAGGACCCTGTCCCCAAGGCAGACTGGGGGCTAACAGTGCCTCAGAGAGCTGATAACGTGGCCAAAGCTGGGAGAATTTGGCATCAGGTGTTGGCTCCAGGTTTTCACAGCATCTCACGGTTTTGATGTATTTGATTAGCATCAAC